TATTGAAAAGAGCCCATTATCTACTCGAACCCAACAATTTGCAAAGATTTGGCACTTATTGGAAATCTGTCCTCACTATTTATCAATGGGGGCTAAAGGGTGATCCATGATATAAACTAAACCCTGATGTGTGAATCTCTGAAGATCACGAGGTAATCAAAGCACGAACCTCTGAATTAAATCTCAGATTGTCGACTAGATATTCTAGACACTATGCCAAACTGATGGTTTGTTAGCAACTCAGGCAATTATTAAATTCCTAACCCTTCCCCAAAAGCCTTTGTTACTGTTTCAATACATAAATAACTAGCAATTCGTAATGGAGGGAGGCTGTGTACTGTAGTTACTACATTCACTGACTATCTAGTTCCAGAAATGTTCATTAGTTTTGGAATTTTATTCTAAATATTTATTAGAATTACTAGTGCAAGCACTAAAGTTTAAAGTATTCATCATTATATTAAGTTTCTCAGTGAATAAAATATGTCTAAATTAATACTTAACTTGATTTAAAGAGGTTAGGGAACAAATGTCAATAAATTATGAATAAGCAGTGAAGTTATGTAAGAAGATAAAGTAATACGGAAGTAAACAACTAAGATATTTCTACTGTGGCATCCTTATAAAATTTATCATGCCAATTTTCATTTATCCAAATATCTTATTCGATTACTTTCCATAGTAAAAGAGCGTACTTTCTTTATTGCATTGTCCACAGCGAATCAAATCGCAAATGAAAAAACATTAATTTTGCTGTAATTTATGGGTCCTAATAAGAAGAGCACTTCAGGAATATTAAAGAAATGTTGAATGGAAAAAAAACTAAGCAAATGTAAGAGTTTTTTTAGCGGTAGCTTCACCACGAGAGACTAGAGACAACGAGCTTGACCCGCGACCGGAACAAACGCGAGACTCATCTGCCAGAAGGATTTCATTTAATCCGAACAGCAAGAACTGCGAGTTTCTACTCTCATTCTTCTGAGAAAAAGAAAGCTTAGCGGTGCATTTTAATGAGAGGCGGTCGAAGTTTTTACAGCAAAACGTGCCCAAAATGACACCTCCATAAAGCGATATCCATTGTTATCGGCTATTCCTTGGAACCGATTGACTTTTCCTTTAAGACGCATGCCAATTCAAGAAATGATTTATCGGATTGAAAGAAATTACATTTCAGAAACTAATACATGTAACGTCGGTAAAACCACAAACTCTCAAAGTTTTCGGCTGGCCCTCGAAATGGAGGGTATGCAACAGATAGCGTATTGTGTTTAGAAATATGAAATTTATGATTTACGCCACAACTTAAAGGCAATTCAGATTATTTCGTAGTCCAAAATGGTCCTCTTCCGTACTAGCATACAGATGTGCGCCGTTTTCGTAATGAACTTCCACACCGATGGATCGGGCGATGTGCTGATGATGACTTTGCGAAGTTCGCATGGTTCCCTAAGTATTCCGGCCTTTCCTTACCTGATTTTCTCCTTGCCGGTATGTCAAAGACATTATTTACACGCATCAATTGACAAAAATAATAGAAGAACTAAGAATAGCATTCTTGAGGCTTTTTGATGACCGTATCTGATGAAACGGTTTATCGCGGAATTAGACTATCACATAAATGTGTTTCGTGTGATGAGAGGACATCTCGAACATTTACGACAAAACGATGACTTTGATGAGACTGGAGTTCTGTCTATGCATCACGCATTCAGGTAGGTGATGTCTGAGATATACATTTTAAATTTCGATGAATAATTTGTAATAAACTCGCACTTGCTTTGCATGGTTACTTTGTTCCGCGATTGGCGATCCCCTCCAGAGATTTTGATCTCTAATGGAATAACATTAAGAAAGAGGGATGGAGATGGATTTAGTATCTTACTGTCATTGGATACATTGGCAGATTACTTAGAACAGTGACATTTAGAGTTGCTTACCTCACGGTGAGATTCACTTGCATTTCAGATAATAGATGCAACGTGCCACTTGCAGTCCCATTAACTTCAATTGTTGCAATTTTGCTGCTAATATAAACTGCACGTTCACAAAAGCTCGTGCTCTTAAGTGTCTCAGTAATGATTAGCATAATTTATTAATTTATTAATACAGTAGCACATACGAACCGTATGATTTAAGCACATAATTATTTTTATTTATTAAACTTATCTCTGTCTAAATTAATTATATGTATCTGGGTTTAAAATATCGGAACGCAGTGTGTCCAACTTTTATTTTTCTTTCGCCTTTGAAGGATTGTTTTGAGGTATAGGTATAGGTATCTTTGAACGATTGTTTTGAGCTGATTTCTTTGTATTAAAATGTTATAGATAAGTTCAAGTGTGTGGATGCTGACCCTTTGTGGTCAAACAGTTAACTGGATTGTAATGCGTTCGAACTCATTTGAAAGCTTTACGTAGGGAAGTACGATACAATATTTTCTGGATTTATGACACGTTTTGAGCAATATATTAAGAAAACCCAGAGTAGATCGACCGTCAACATTGAGAATCAACAATGACCATCAATGAGTATCAGCAATGAGAATTCTCAATGTAATTACCTCAGTGAATTTAATTACTACAAATAGTAATTGAAGTAAATTATGAACATGATAATGGAATTGACTACATTGGTGATTATCATTAGCTTGTATAATCCCTGGAACCTTTTAAACGACAATACCACACAAAAACAATACATGCCGTGAGACATACTTATAATATATTTCAGCTGTAATAACCTAGACCATCGACAACTAGTAAAACTTCATCATTTAGCAAACATTGCAAGAATTCTGTCCTGAAGCTGATATTGAAAATGTTCCGTTACGGGCGTGACTATACGTCGCTACGTGCGAAGATCGCTAAAAGGGTGGCTTGTTAGACGCGTGGGTCGCAACAGGCTCAGATGAGTACACACGTGCGAGGCTACACGCTTGGACTGGCACACGCGTAGATTTGCGGAAAAGCGAGTGTCCATGCGCATGAGCGCTTACACGCATAAGCGGCTAAATGCACGAGTGGCCACACCCCATAATGGCACCACCCCCGAGTGGCTGCACCCCCGAGTGGCTGCACCCCCGAGTGGCTGCACCCCCGAGTGGCTGCACCCGCGAGTGGCTGCACCCGCGAGTGGCTGCACCCACGAGTGGCTGCACCCACGAGTGGCTGCACCCACGAGTGGCTGCACCCACGAGTGGCTGCACATACGAGTGGCTGCACCCACGAGTGGCTGCACCCACGAGTGGCTCCACCCACGAATGGCTCCACCCACGAGCGTCTCCACCCACGAGCGTCTCCACCCACGAGCGTCTCCACCCACGAGCGTCTTCACCCACGAGTGTCTCCACAAGTGGCGTCACCCATGAGTGGCTTCACCTACAAGCCACCCAATCTTTGCCAAATCGTTTTATTTTCATATTTCCATTTTGAAATACATTCAACGTTCTTTTCATCTTCTTGTACGATCCTCTTCACCCTTTCCCTTTCATAATGCACTTATTTCCCCAAGCGTCATTTCCTCACCTTTATTACTACTTTCTGCCCGCGATGCGGTGCACAGGTACGCGTAAGATTAATGTGACGAAGCACCACGTCCCATCTTCCTTCCCGAACGCCGTCCTGTGGAAAGGTGGTGTCAGAAGGCGCGTCTTCGCCAGCCCGGCGGCGGAAATTCGCTTCCCCGTCGCCCGGGCGCAGGCCACGAGGCCGCCGGGCGATCCGTCTTGGGCCGAGATAGAGCCGTCAGCGCCTGCATTTCGGTGCGGGCGTTGGGTTGGGCGGGTGGTG